TTTGCGATCAATTCATATGGATCATTCCTCTCTAATTAAAATCGCGGAACCCTTAAACTTTTGCCATATGTTTTGCTTATGATTTTTCGAGATTAAAAAGGCTGAAAATATTTTTATTCATGGCTAATTTTCCCTCCGTTCCTTAGACGTATTTTTTCCTTGAGGATTCTCTGCGCTACCTATCATATACAGTATTGAACTTCATTAAACTTTCGAGCAATATTATATTTATCTGGAGTAGACTCGAGCCCAAAGTGCTCCGGGGAAAATATTGAGAACTCAAGTTTATGCTGCATATACTGCTTGCGTGGGGTTTCTATAGGATATGCTAAACAGCCACGATCAGTAACGGTACAAAGTGGCACGAATGAGAGATAAGAAACAAAATTAAATCAACAAACGTTGATACATGAACGAACATGTATGTAGGAGCAGTGTTCCCCAACGTTTTGGACTTGCGGACTGGCAAATTTCCATGAATATTTTTGAAGACGGGAAAAATTCCAATAATATTTCTGCGGACCGGCGAAGTGTCAAAAAATTTTCAGATCCAGAATAATTTCGTCAAAAGACTTGACAGCAGACATTTTGAAAGATTCTACTTTTTGTCAAAAATTAAGGGAATCAAGGAAGCAGTTATATTGGAATATACTGCATTCCAAAAAATTGAAAGGTGGGATTGAAAAAGGTATATCAGAGTGTTCGAAGTGTTATTGAGAGAAAAGCCAACTTTTTTAAATAATATTCTAACTTCTATTGTCTTTCTGAAATTTCAGAAAAATATGACAGACTTACTTGCTAATTTTGATAAATTGATTATGTGGAAGAAAATTTCCAGCACACCGGCGAAAAACTTCTACGAACCGGCGCTGGTCCGCGGGCCACGGATTGGGGAACACTGGGTTAGAGGATTCTGAAAAAGAAACAAATGGTTGGCAGTGAGAAATATATGCCATTGTAAGTCCTAACTTCTAAGATGCGTCAAAAAGATTCGTTTACGGCTTTGATATAAACCCGTAAATTCGTTTTCAGAAAGAAATCAATGAGTGCAAACTCTCCAAAGGGTTGAGAACCTTTGCTTCATATGGTTCGTTAAAAGACGAAGTTTACTTGTTAATTTTGTGGCAGTCGAGGAACGGGGTTGAGGTCAAGAAAAGAAACTTTCGACCTGGTAACGCATTATCTTGACATAGTTCAACGACTTACGAACTTTTCAGGGAAACATTCCCAGGAAAAGCCCCAACTTCGCTTTTTGCTGCTGAGAAATGCAGACCCAACAGGTGAGATCAGAGAACGACAGTTCACATGAATGATTCACGTACATTCGTAGATGGTCTTAGAACCCTTCGATACAAAACATATCTCCCGGAAAAAAGCATCAATTTATATAGTGAAATCCGCTCTCGAATATCCGGTGATATATTTTTTGAAGAAGTGCATGTCGATGATAAGTTCGCATGAGCTTGAAAAATGATTGAACCCAACCCAACGTATCTAGTTCAATCTACCCACCGAAATCCAGACTTTCAATCCCAGAAGTTAGGGTCGTTCTTTTGGATCGTGCGATGCATACTTACGATAGATCTAAAGTTTTCCTTCCAAGGAAACTTATTCTTGTTATTCTCTCACAAAAATCAATCTGAAGAAACAGCAGAAGTACTGATTTGAGAACAAAGCGATTCCTTTTCCTAAATTGACCCAGAATTTGCATCTATTGCAACTTTCCCTGGCTTTCATCAGAATACCCGCTCAAAAAAGTGCAATCCTTGTAACTTAAGTTCGACATTATGCAAAGAAAAAAGTTTCTCCGTAATTTGATCAATTAAAACCTGGGAACAATATTAGAGTTCTGGGGTGAGTGTCACCTTGAAGAATATTTTTTATGCATTTAATGATTCACATAAGATGAATAAAGTTTTAGACGCGTTCAAAGAATACTGTACCACGCTGTACTTCTACTGTAAAAAAAATATGCCCGATTGCGATTACCAAGGAAAATACCTCTTACTTCCGGAATTTTCTTCGAAATATGAATACCCCAAGACGAATGGGTTTGAATTCCATCTTCCACCTATAAAGACAGAATAACCCTAAAGCCTCTCCAGAAAGTAACGACTCATACATTTCTGGTGTCGGCTGGCTCAGTTTTGAAGTAGAACTGATGCTTCGCGAAAAGCAATCAGAAACGGGGAGACAAACTTTCCCCATGCCAAGGAATAATGAGACAACCGCGAAACTAGCGAGTGGGCGGCAAGTCAATTGCCAGTTATGCCTAACTTAGCCCAAAAGTTTTTTGCAATCGTGATCCGCAACGAGGCGAACACGTAATTGCGCTCATAAGTGTGCATGTGATGCGCTATTCAATGACCGAGTCAAGGGGCTATTTATTTGAACTTCTGCACCAACTTCTTACTCAAGTTGGGCCACCAAAACTATTCCGGGAAACAAGATTTGATCAGCATGATTCAAACCGTTCTTGGAACTCCTTTCTTCTCATGTCAAAAATACGGAACACGTAGTGAGGCTCAATAAAAAGTTGGAAAAAAAACCGCGGAATCGCAGGAAACAAAAGCGCAGAAGTCACCCTGCAGAAATGATGGCTTCATAGATAGGCTGCGAAGGAATGCGAGAAATAACGCATGAGATGAGAAAATGCAGATGAGATGGAGACATGCAATAGAGATGGGACAATCGGAACTCAGAATATAACGGAAGCACACAGCTGTTTTAGCGTCCATTATAGTTGGCTTCCAAAATGTATGATATGATGATAAGTCATAACTGGGCTTCTGGTTCATAAATTCCCTGCTCGCGGTGCTACAGAATACATTTACAACTCAGGAAATAGCTCAAATTCGCGACAGCTTTGCTCATTTCAGAGCTAGATTCAGCTGTACTTACTTTCAGGTATTTCAAGACTCAGGAAACAAGGACGGACATTGTAAATTATTACCTGGGCTTTTTAGCCATCATTTAGCGGAAAAGAAGTGTTCAATTTATATTTCAGCCGCTTCATCAACCGCACTAATCATTCAAGCAATGTGTTTTCAAGGTCAGTGAAAATTTCAAGAATACAGTATTACAAGGTACATTTTTACATTCTCAAGGCTGTATTCGATTATCCGTTTTGCTTCATCATCTGGGAAGAAATACCTGGTCATTACTGGGTTTAATCGAAATTTTACTGCGAACTACTGTGATTGAAATTGTTTGCTCATTATATCAGTCACACTAATTTGGTTGTCCAATCTCATGACACTGCGAATATGACTGATTTTTGTCATAAAATATAATGTCCAGCTGAAGATTGACTCATTCAGCAAACATTTTCAACTGAGTCTGGAATCTATATGAACTCGTTCTAGCGAGGCATTGTACTTTTCAAAGAATAAAAATATGCTTCGATTCATCTTTAGTACGCATAGAAGTGTTCGAAAGGTGAACGATTTCTGACCCGAGGGGCAACACATTTTTGAAATTTTCACTTGAGGCTGAATTCTCTGACACATGTGTCGGCAATTTCGGCATACTCTTTTATCAGATCTGGTGTCATGAACATTTGAGCAGACCCCAAAATACCAGGGGTAGCTTAAAAAAATATAGAAAAATATGCCAGTTACGAAACGTTTTAGTGATTGAAAGGCCCTAAAACTAAACTTTTTGGGCAACGTTATTGTTTCCTAGGTACCCTCATTGAAAAAAAACCTGCGAGATTATTAACCTAAACGAAGCACGACACTGCATCATTGTGTGACACAGAAATAGTTTCGCACATCTACTACTTCGTGTTAATTCATGCGCTGTTTTGGACGCGTGCTATTCTGGGTCTCGCTGTTTTCGGACGCGCTCAATTGTCCCATCAGCATGATCAGATCTACCCGCTGTGGTACAGTAATAGGTTTCATTTATACTCGTATCTTAACGACTCCATCGCTTAAAAGACACGCTTATAATTTTAGTATCTCGAAAATAGATGCAATTTAGCCTGGTAATATACAAATGGAAAGAAATATTCACAATCCTAGTTACTTTTGAATTTAATATAGTAATGCAGGCATATGCTGGTTCCATTCATGCTTCAGAGACAATAAAAACTCCTTATCCATTTTATTTCGACAGAAATCAAGATCGTGGTTCGCATTTCCTTGAACTGAGAAAAATTTCAAGTTTGTTCAATTAAATGTTGCGCTCGAATGTGTTTGAAAGATTGCTACGATCAGAAGCAAGCATTGAGCATTGACCTAGGATGCCTGGTTTTAAAAGCTCATATTTGTGAGAAAAGAAATTGATTCAGGGTAGTCTCAGGGAATTATCAGGATCATCCGCATAACGAGCGCCTCGTGTACAAACTAATTCACAATATCGAGAGCAGCACAAAATGACTGCCATAATTTAATTTTGTGGCTAAATTCGGCGCAGTCTCGACCAATGAATAATCGAATATCCCGCGCGGAAATTTGAGATTTCCATTAAGAACTCCCCACATTTCTGATAACATCCTGGAAGTAAACAGGTTGCTATGCTTGGGACAACTGTAATAGCCCTTCGGCGGCGAAAGAATTGTTCCATTGCAGTGCGACACAATAAGTTCAAATTGGTACCATTTCTGGCGAACCAAGGTCCAGAAAACCTCAGCTGAAATCAGTAGAAAATTTGGGAAATTTTCGCATGAAATTAACGGAAACAAATCTTACCATCACCAGACCTTTAAACTTCAAGATCTTCCGAAACGCCGAAAAAATTGATACCCGATAATTTTTCTTCGCTTTTCGCCAACATCTTATGGCATCATAAGAGGAATTTTGGCCAGGATACCAATGTCAGATTACCAGATAATTATCATAATGTATGCTTATTTACGGATAAATTAGTCAGTTTAGCTTCCTTCGTTACATATTCTGGGGCTCTGACTGGGAAGAACATTTTGCGGATTGATTTAGATCTTCCTTTGCACAACCATGGTCAAGTCTGAATGGCGTTCCTCAAAGTGCTTCGCAAAAATGAGGGCCTTGTCCTTATTTCAAGGTTTAATTTAGTTTGTGTATCTCCCAAGTCAAGTGAGTATAGGAAAAGTAATTACTTCAGAAAGTCCTTCCAAGACTAAAATAGTCTTTATTTGTACCTGGTTCAACAGAGTATATACAGTTATACACAACCCAATAAGCGCAATACACAGAGATTCTGTACACAATCAATATTGTGATATCATGACCTGATGCTAAAATTCCTATTCTCATAGGGATTGGATGTGGGTTTATATAGTAGGAATCTGGGGGGTAAACCAGAAAGGGGATAATACTGTACGCACGTGTGCAGGTAAAACAAAAAGGTACAACTGCTGTGGGTTCTGAGCAGCTGGGGTACATGGGTCATGAGTGCAGGTGAACCAAGAATGGGATGGAAGAGTAATAAATCATTATATTAATAATTTATTGTTTAATCTTCATCTCTTCTTTGCATATTTCTCGCAAATTCTGTGCAGAGATTTATCATTGATACTCTCTCTTACGAAGATGTTTTGTAGCACAGGGTTTGTATTTGGAAACTAAATGATGAATTTCTACAGATGAAAGCCCTTATTTCTCGAGAAAAAACAAGTTTAGCATAACTTTCCGTTTTTATTTTTATTTCTCTCCAGTTGCCGTGGTCGTCGCATTCTTCATCTGCTGGGCTCCGTTTCACGCCCAACGCCTGCTCGCGATTTACGGAGACTCGGAGAACTACTGGCACGCGCGGGCTTACGAGATCCTGGACAACATTTCCGGTGTCCTCTACTATTTCTCAGCCACCGTCAACCCGATTCTTTACCACATTCTTTGCGCCCGCTTTAGGAGCGCTTTCAAGGTGAGTCAGAAAAATACTGTGAATAACGAAAGGGTGCAAAACGAAGTTTCTTTAGCATGACCCGAAATCGACGCGTGCATCGCGCGACTCCGGCGGTTTCTCGTGTGAAAAACGTTCTGAAAACGATTTTCTTTGAGATAAATTGCCGTTGGAGTAACTATATGATCGTTAAAAAGGATTCGACGACAATCGCATGCTTTTCTGTCAGAGAAGAGGGGCAGGGTAAATATTACAGTCTGTATTTCAATTCACGCGTTTACAGCAGATCGCTCTCTTTTTACGCGAAGATTCCGTCCCAACTGTGTGGCCTATGCAGCACTGGAAACCCCTTTTTCAAATACTGTACAGCGATGAACAGAATTATAATAACACAAATTGACTGTTGTCAATCGTCAGAGTTTTTCTTCCCGATGACCCAAAAAGAAATAGACATCACAATTCCATTAATCTCCATTTCTTAATATGATTTACGAGAAAGCAAAACTGCGAGGTTTTGTTCTGGAATAGGCACATTTTCCTTCCGAAAGCCTATGATGTGCCCTACCTATAGCTTTTTCCTTTCAATCCGCTACACAACGTCAAGTAGTGGCAGAACAATTTTCAAATTTTCGGCGAAAACACAGGACATACAAGTTGTGAGAATAAAATATCCAAGAAAAAACGCTTCTCGGAAACTTCGTAAGGCAGCAAGTTGATGAAATTCGAACTCACCAATTGCATGAACAGCGTTTTCTGGAAAATAATGTTTGTTTTTGGAAAATTCAATGAAGCTACGAAAAGCACGAACCATATGTGAAATATAGGATGCGATCAGTCTGCCAAGGTAAAATTCGAAAATTATTTTTAAAACTTCTGCAGTCAAAAACTGTACCGGCGTAATTTAAAGTGTCAACACCCAGAGTGAATCAAATCTATCATCCGGCTCATTCCAGTACAGTAATAAGAAATTTACGTAAGAAACCGCAGCTTTTGGCCCGTTGCCGGATGCTGTTGATTTATCGGATATGAGTTCTAAATGTGCGAGAAAACCAACCGCTGTGGCTCTAAGCAATACCACACACTGTAAATGCTCCTGACGCGGAAGAAACGTGTTGACCCAGAGATGTGAGAGAAAAACGACGTTTGATTCCCCGGTTATTGCTTTTTTGCTGGGAACATGCACACCCTAAATGACTGGCAGAAATTCCTGAGTAGAAAGCCCGCAAAACTTCTCGCCCGAGACATTTCCTCCTAAGTATCTACCATCCGCCTTCATGAATCCCAGGATTACCAGAAAAGCGCACTGAGTATTGAACGGAGATAGGTGGTCCGCACGAAATTGTTCTGGGGCAAAATCCGCACTCCAGCGATTTATCGCAATGTTTGGGACTTCCAGAAAGTTCCGCAAAACAATTCTGGTGGAATAATTCTGCAGATTACGAAAAATGATAGACAGAACTCACACCAACGATAGTCAGTTCTTCAAGAATATTAGTTTCGGAAAGAGTCCCGAATATTCTATGAAAATATCTCACAAATCTTTAGTGTCCAATATCATAATATCTTCCAAAAACTCAAATAAAATCTGCGACAAGGCACCATCGCGGATTATGGAAAACACACCGATTTTCTGTGCTTCAAAATGAAGAGAATTTCATTCGCAAATTCAAAAAAAGAGAATGTTGGACATACTTTCATTACATTCAATATCTTCGAAGGATGAGAATAATTACTGTACAATGTTTATAATTCACGATTAAAATTTTTTTCAAGCTTGAACTAAAACCGATCTACTATAATAAAGTTGCTTGCTGTCATCCGTTCCCACTTTTTTTAATTTTCGAATGAAATTCTCTTCATTTTGAAGCACAGAAAATCGGTGTGTTTTCCATAATCCGCGATGGTGCCTTGTCGCAGATTTTATTTGAGTTTTTGGAAGATATTATGATATTGGACACTAAAGATTTGTGAGATATTTTCATAGAATATTCGGGACTCTTTCCGAAACTAATATTCTTGAAGAACTGACTATCGTTGGTGTGAGTTCTGTCTATCATTTTTCGTAATCTGCAGAATTATTCCACCAGAATTGTTTTGCGGAACTTTCTGGAAGTCCCAAACATTGCGATAAATCGCTGGAGTGCGGATTTTGCCCCAGAACAATTTCGTGCGGACCACCTATCTCCGTTCAATACTCAGTGCGCTTTTCTGGTAATCCTGGGATTCATGAAGGCGGATGGTAGATACTTAGGAGGAAATGTCTCGGGCGAGAAGTTTTGCGGGCTTTCTACTCAGGAATTTCTGCCAGTCATTTAGGGTGTGCATGTTCCCAGCAAAAAAGCAATAACCGGGGAATCAAACGTCGTTTTTCTCTCACATCTCTGGGTCAACACGTTTCTTCCGCGTCAGGAGCATTTACAGTGTGTGGTATTGCTTAGAGCCACAGCGGTTGGTTTTCTCGCACATTTAGAANTCTGATTTTCTTCCATTTTGTCAACTTTAAAATGTTTCCAAAATTCAAAAATTTCAACCAATCTCCAAATTTGTAACGTTCTTGCATAAATAAAATCCCCCTGCTCATGTGCCAGTTGTGGCCCACCGGGCCACAACTGGCGCATTGAGCACAATTACAAAATTACCGGTGGTCCTTTTTAGTATCATTCACTTTTTTGAACTTAATGCACAGAGATGTGACTGGGCCACACAACTGGGCATGCTCTCTTCCATGTGTGATCTGATCAAAATTTTAACATATAATAAAATCTGACCAATGCCCAGGTGTGGCTGGGCACCCCCAGCTTGTATTCTAATAAAGCAAATCGGAAACCGGGCTTATACGTTTTTCTGGCTGCAGCGTGCTTTTTCGAAAAAGTGCGTCTTGCATTCCAATACTCTACTCCCATAAATAACTTACCCAGTCACTCATCTTCTCAGAATTTCAAAGACGATTTTCAAAATCCATTTTTCACGGTTTATGAAGTCGATCGCTCTTTAGTTATCGAAACTTTTGAATGAAGATACAGTACATTCTATGACTTCGCTTATAGAACAGCCGAGTAGGCAAGGAAGGTCCAGCGAGTTCATGATATCGATCATGACTAACCGCCAATATTTCATACCGACAAGGATGAACCTCAGCGCATCCTTAATCGAAACTTCTCAATGCTCAATCTCCGAAAGCAAATGGACGCATGCACAATCGGAACCCGGCGAGGCATGGATCAGTTCCCATGGGTCTTCAAAGGGTACCTTATGGCGTCAATCACCCGACCGGGAAGAGTATAATTTCCTTCATTAAGAGTAACCGAGCAACACGTATTATTCTGCTGCATCTCCGCACTTAACAGAGCTGCGTAAGAAAAAATCATGCTTAGTTAACTCTCGTTCGCACCTTCTGATAATTTCCGGGGAAAAAATAATAAAAGTAACATTCGGACGGAAGCTTTCCTTGGATTGACTGCAGCACGTGCAGTCACGTGTGGCAGTCAATAAGACCAGCTTACGGGGCACGTAAGAAAAATTAAGCGTCAATACGTTCAGCTTCATACTCCCAGCATCCAAAAATACTACAGTCGAACCTTTTCAAGTCGAACTGAAAGGGGCCAGCAAAGAAAGTCAAGTTCGTGAGGTTTCCAGCTAGGGAAACAAGCAGTGTGTTGGGCAAAGAAAGAATAATTAAACGAAATTTAAATTAGTGATACTCTAGGCCAGTGTTCCCCAACTTTTTGGGCTCGCGGAGCGGATAATTTAAACAAAATCTATTGCGAACAAGCAAATTATCATAAAATTTTCTGCGGACCAGCTAAGTTCCATACCATTTTTGTTGACCAGCAGAAATGTCTTTTAATATCTACCAGGAAGTCCTCAGAACAAAACTTTCAATTCAAAAATTAAGTCAAGAACCAAAGAGGCAGCAATATTGGATGTATTAAAAAATAGAAAGCTGGGCTTCAAGAAAGGCTTCTCAGATTGAAAATTTAAAATAAAATTTTTCGCAGGTTAAAAAATGTCTGAAGTGTTATTAAGAGAAGAAGCCAACGTTCATTTTTATCAGATAGTTTCAACCGCATTTATCTTTCCGAAATTTTGGATAACGATAACACACTTCCTTACTACCTTCTATAAATTTAGCATGTTGGAAAATTTTTCCCACGGACCAGCAAAGAACTTCTGCGGACCGACGCCGGTTTGCGGACCACCGGTTTGGGAACACTGCTCTAGGCCTTAAATCACATCTTAAATGAGTTGAAAGGATGCTGAACTCGGAGGCGAGGGTTAATTTTCCCAATAAGTCTTTGACTGCGTTTCAAAAACATTGTTGCATGTTTCATATTCCTATTCTTCACAGGGTCCATGAAATAGTAGCCAAAAAGCCTCCAGAAAATTCGAAATTAGGATTTTTGGGGAGGAAAGCCTTCAAGTTAAAGGGAAATGCCTTTTGTTTCAAAGGAAATTCAGACAGGGAATTAAATAAAATTCAATTTAGGGAGGTATGCAACTTTGAGAGGTTCCAGTTATCGAGGTTAAACTGTGGATGATACGACTTGGAGTATTTTTTTAAATTTTCATTGTTAAAATGTTAGTTTAGGTCTTCGCTCGGTGGTCGAGCGAATATGTCGATCTTTGAAAATGAGTCAGATGCAAAACAAAGTATTTTTTTATAATCCGCGGATGAAAGCATTTTTTACGGTTTAAAAAGATGGCGACAAAGCCTGTTTTAATATTCAAGCGAGCACGTTTCTGAGAATACATCCGCAGAACGATAAAACTGGAACTACAAAGTTGGTTCCATGTAGTACTGCACGATTCTTTGAACGATGGCTCGTTCAGCAGATATGCTCGAGTTCCGAGTACTGTACACGAACCATAATCCCGTTTCATCATTCCTAGAAAAAAAACTTCGGTTCATGAAAAAAATATTTAGCTCTCGCTTGTACGCTTGCTACATTCAACAAATTTGGGAGAGGTTCTTGGTACAGTAATGTCTACTGCAATTTTTCATAGCCTGCTTAATTTTGAAAAAAAAAAACATTGTTAAAACGAATCAAAGTCACCCATGCTCGGAAACAGTCGAGAAAATAGAGTACTTCTCCGACATCCTATGCTTTGTTCCAATTAAAATCAAGAATTCATAGCATGAATACTGTATTCATGCTCTCTCGTCAATGAAAATGCGACTACGTCCAAATTTAAAACACATTTCTGGGAATTTTCCATCAGAATTTTAATCCACGACCACAGAATTATTAAAAAAAAACAGGTTAAATGTTACGCTGTTTCCCGAAATTCGTTTTTGTTGATGAAAACGAGCTCATAAAAATAAACATGCAGTCGGAAAAAATTTAAAGGTCTAACGCAAAGAATCGGTTATGTAAAAATGTATTGCTTCGAAATGTGACGATACTGTACTTTTTTTCAGCGCACACATGCAAATTTTGCGAAAATAAATTATTCCCTGGAAAATGTGTGAAATTTTCGAGACTGCTGCACTGAAGCCCGTTTCACTACGCCTACGTATTGATGGCAAGCATAAATTGTATTGTATTTACTGTAGTTATATTATTATTCAAGGAAACAGGGTAAAAGGCAAGAGCAGAATATTATATGACAATCCCTGCAGGCCCATTCGATAAAACAAAACTTCTGAAGTAATTTCTTGTCCATTTTAATCGTTTCCAGCGGCCGCTAAAAATATTTGAAATGCTTAATTTTGAAAAAAAACATGGTTAAAACGAATCAAAGTCACCCATGCTCGGAAACAGTCGAGAAAATAGAGTACTTCTCCGACATCCTATGCTTTGTTCCAATTAAAATCAAGAATTCATAGCATGAATATTCATTCCCTTTGAGCGGTTCCAGGCCCATACGAGAGGCTGCCTCACGAACAAGTGCATCAACGCAATTGTTATCCTTTTCTGATTGAGTTAACTCGTTCGACTTCTATTTGTATATATATCTCTCATGCGAACTCGTGCCAGTCTGGCTGATGCGATTTTTTCATCATCCGCGTGCGTCGAAGGATTAAAGTTTCAGAAGAAAAAAGGGCTGCCGTATAGAAAGCAAAACTCATCAAGATATAATTTCGTAGGAGGACTTGAGCGTCTAACGCTGACGTATTTTAGTCCCCAAAGAAACAGAATATGCAGGGAGGATTTTCTCATGGCTGTTCGCATTTTCCGTCGGAAAGATGAATACTATAAGCCGCATTCGCCCCTGGCTTTAATCAAACAGGGATTTTATCCCAAAAATTGGCACCGCGGCTAAGTCGAAGCGAGTGTTTGCCTCTGCGAGTCACGCAAGCAGAAGATCATGGGATCCTCGCAGGATCAACCACGTAAAATATCACGCGCCACAACGCGAACCAACCGTAACTCCACTCGTCCAGCTTTTCAGAGATCCCTGTGAAAATCCTGATTTATACCTTCAACCTTGATTTCTGGATCGTCAAACGCAAATTATGCCTCCAGCGTGACAGAATCGCACAAGCTATACCGTGTTTTACCCCTCAATGGCTGTAGAAAAACGTCGAGAGAAATCCATCAAATATTCTAGCTAACTCACTTTTTTCAGATAGGTTATAAGTTCCAGCGCAAATTTTCTTTGAAAATTATGGACATCAACGTGCCCAGCTGAAATGATGCCATACTTTCTGCGAATAATTCTTGAATGATCCACTGAAATCTCGTCTAAACTCAACGGGCGGAAGTGCGTCGAAAAATTAGTCTTTACCAGAAGAAAACTGAAATTTACTCAACATTTTTTTTATTAGTGTGGCGGTTTTGGCGAACAATTCTTCTTATGATGTACAAAATCAGTTTTCGTCTTGGTTGATGATAGCATTTTCGAGCCATTATAAATTCAGTAAATGAGCTAGAAAAATTAAAATTCATATGAAGGACATTTATATAGTCATCGCTAACCGATCAAAATAGAGTAAAACTTTCAAAAACGCATTGTTTGAACTTGTTGGCCAGAATAAGAAATAGGGAAGGGGAACTAAGTATAATTTTTAACAATATATGACAAAAGCGTGAAATTGTAAGAATCCATTGCAAAACATGTAATGTAAGTTTTCCTCGGGAGCTTAGAACAAACGGATAACATATAACTTCGTCCCTTGAAAAATGAATTATGTAAGCGCATCCAAGATACGGCACGTTGCGCCGAAAAAATTTCGCAGGTACTCAATACAGTAGCGAATGGGAAGGTTCATTCAGCCCATTATTCATGTAGCAATTTTCATCAGTGCTGGAGAACTTCGCCGTTTTCATCGAATTGCTCCTCATTGACGGTATGGTAATTGAAAGGTCCGACAA